TGTGATGAGGGTAACTGGACATGTAGATATAATCTATGTCTTTCCCACTGCTGTCTGCAATCAATAGATTAGCCATTTCCTTCAAGTCAATTGCCTGCCCTATTCAGGTCATGATTTTCATCTTCCAGTTCTGGGGGGCCTGCTAGTGCTGTACACAGGACATCTTGCATATCTGCTTGTTGGACTTTTTAGTGAAACCAACATAGAACAGAAGGGTCAAAGAACCGTCAGTTGTATTGATATCACCACGAGCTTCAATCACAGTCTGTCTGCTACTTTTTTTTTCATGGAACACATTTTGTCCTGGGTATGATCCATGCCATGGAAGTTAATCATATTTTTTCCCTGAACATCCTCAGTAATTAGCTTGAATTTTCTAAATGCAATTTTGTCACTCTTCAAGCTCCCTACAACCGTAGAGGCCATCAGATGCAATTTTGGTCCCCTGAGTCCTTGTGACTGGTGTTTTTCGAATGTTTCTAAAATTGAAGATAGCTAGAGTTTTTACATCATACCAGTCTTTCTTAGAAAATGGATCAACCACTTTCTTCCTGGCTTCCTTCATGATGCCTTTAATCAGGCCTTGTTCTCGCTGATGGCTGTCTTGGTGCCTCTCAGAGAGCCAAAGAGAAGAAAGTAAGCACAGTTTTCGTGACAACTTCCATGAGTACGGTGGGACTAACTTTTATTTCTTGGTAGAAATGGAACCTTGCTAAAAACAAAGCAGGGGTTGGATTGGGATGATTCCCATATACGGTCTCAGACTGGGATCAACTGTTCATCTTACCAAAGTTAAAAAGCTGGGGGCATCTCACACAGCTGCAGGTACTATCATCATTATAATTGCTGGTGGTATTATTTATTAACTTCATTGTTGAGTGAAAAGAAACTTGTTTGTCTAATTTTGAAAATTGGTTTTACCTCTAAGAAAAAAGCACAATGCTTGGCTACGTCATATCGCTCCATGGTGGCGAGCACTTTCTACTGTCCTCAATGTGGTGGCCACATGTTTTCTGTTTCTTTTTCTCCCAGACAGCTCAGGCTTAAGCAGGAGAGTGTGGAGGAAATGAAAGGGGGACAAAGTGGACTTTTCTTTCTCTTTTATGGCATTTAGAGTATGTGTCAATGGACTACATACATCCCTGAAGTTGTGGGTATATGTTGGTATGTGTGTGTTTAACAAAGAAATAAACAAAGCACATTGTGACTGTTCTGAGTAGTTATTTCTGTTTTCATGACACGATTTTTAAGTCTTTTGAAGCAAACTGGGGGAAAATGATGAGCCTCATCCAGTATGAATATTTGGTGGTCACATGTACAAATCACCTCTATCTTATACCACCCTGCAAAGCATTAGTGTGTTTGTGAGTTTCTGTAAAACAAATAAATGTGTAATGGAATTTCACTGATGGAAAATACCTCGAAAGTGAAATTATTCTTCTGTAGACTCCATCTTATAAATATACAAAAAGTACCCAATATTTTAAAGTCAAACTCAAGGAATTAGTTTTTCAATGTAATGGCCATAATGTAACAAATGATTTGCAGCAAATTATTTGAAAATAGAATAAATGGATATTCAAGAAAATCACAGATTTTGAAACTTGGAAAATACTTTGAAGAGGATTTGGCTTAATTTCTGACAAAGAACTGATAACCAGACAAAATAAAACACATAGACAGAGAAGCATTTTCCCCTCCCCCTCCTTTTCCCATCCTCCCCCACTTCCAGTCCCCCTGTCCCCTCTTCCCCTCCCTTCCTTTTTCTCTTTCCTCCTTCTCCAAGTATCAAAACTGGAAACAAAGGCAAGTTATCTGAGATCCAGGACAAACTTTCTACCCTCCCATTGAGAGCCACTTTGTTCTTGTACTCTAACTTGACCTCCACAGCAAATGTTTTCCCTCAGAAACCTGTGGTTAAGTAATAACTGTGCCTGTCCATGGGCAGATGCAGAGCCTTTTTCAAATGAAACATAATTTCACTCAGTCTCTTCCCATTTCTTCTTATAATTCTATCTGTCATCCAAATTATAGAAACCTATTTTGGTTTTGCTTTTTTTTTTTTTTAACTCTAAAATAGTTTTCAGCTGGTTGCAAGGTGTGAAGGCTATTCTTGGTTGTCACCTTGAATGAAATACCACACAAACTTGCATTATCTTAGAGATGGCTTTGTTCAGAAAAGCATTCACTGTTGAGTTGCCATGAGGGAATTTGTACCTAAAGTTTATGTTCATCGTATAGGCAATAGATTTACCACATGTGGGCAAAATTCTGTGTCCTATCCCTTGGTGACCAAGGTATATGGTCGTTTACAGACTCCATCTAACTTGACTCAAAAACCAGACCCATGTGATTTAACTAGCGGAAAGAAACAGGCCCACCCCCCTCTATGTCAGTCAGGATTCTCCTGTGACAGATGAAAGAAACTATGACTATGTTAATCCACAAAAGAATGTACCAGAGAACCTGAAGGGAATGTTGAAGAGCCAGAGGATGTCACTTTTCTAGCAGTGGGAGGAGGAATATTTTTGGCCATGTGACCAACTTGACATTAAGATTCTAGGAAGATGGTTTAACTAGGACAAACTCAGATCTCATGACCAGTTCTTGAAGAAGTCTCATGAATGCCTTGTCAGTCCAAACTCACAACAGGGGTAAGGGGTAAGGGTGGGGTGGAGGTGGGGTGTGAGAGATCTGGTGCAGAGTTTCCCAAGGAACAGAAATAAAGGGGACATGGATATGAAGCAGTCAAACTAGAAGATGGCCACCAAACCACCTCGTGATCAGTTATGGAAAGACAGAGATGAAGAGGTGAGATTAAAGTGTGTCTAGACAACAGCTCAATGATGGGACCAATAAAAATGGATATTAAACTGTGGTTTTTGCCTTGTAGTTTAAATAGGGCCACTTAGTGGCAATTTCTCTTTGAATTTGGTTCAGAGCTTCCCAGACCCTGAGTGGGATGTGAATAGCTGGTCTATTAAGCATCTCTCTCCAGTTGCCCACTACCCTCCTACTCATTCTCCTGGCCACACCTACTGCCTTCTTTGCACTCAAATCTGACCTCAAAGGCTCTTTCTCTTGTAATGCCTTTGCTTAGACTGAAAGAGTAATTAAAAGCTGCTGAATACTTTACTGGGTTTCAATATTTAATATTGGTAATTTGAGTTGGACGAGTGAAGTCAAACCTTATTAGACACATGAGAGAAAGAGTAAGAAATCAAATAAAAAGGTCACTTGAAGACGACTTTGAGCACTCTTTTGACCTTCCTCTAGTTCTCCCATACAGTACAAATGAGGCCGGTTATGAGACAGAAAGGCACACACACACACACACACACACACACACATACACACACACACACACACACACACACAGAGAGAGAGAGAGAGAGAGAGAGG